GATGCTACAATCGCCAAAAGAACTAGACATTCTTGACAAGAGAGAACCGGACTGTCCGACCCAAGCCGCTTGGCTGGGCTGCCTGGCTGTCAAGGCTAGTTGGGTGAGGGATGCACAGAAGAGAAGTGGGATAAGAGAAAGTCCCCACAGCCAGCAAATCAAATGACCGGGTGGCCTCCAGGGTGCAAGAGGAGCAGAAGAGTTCCCTTTGCTTCGAGGTTACTATTAAAATCCTCAGGCCCCCATACATCTGCTCCTCTCTTTTTACAGGAATGTGACACTTCCTGCTCCCACCCTGTTGTCTGAAGATCAGGAGGACGCGGCTTCGATTCATGTGTCTTAGCTTCCGTAGGCCTATGAGATGAGTGAGGTAAACATTATCCCCATTTCACAAACAGCAGAACTGAGTTTAAAAGGACTTCCGTAACTGGGTGGTAGCACCAACACCCTGACCTCAAGTCTCTTGGGGTCTTGTCTGAAACCCTTCCACACACTGCTTAGTGGTTCTCAAGTGTGGTTCTACTCCAGAAGCCCCAACACCACTGGGATCTTGCAGAAACTTGACCTCCCAGACCAACCAAACCTATTCAGTTCTAAGTTCTTGGGGGAGCCCAGGAATTCGGGTTTCGCCAAGCCCTCCTGGTGGTTCCAATGTTTGGACCAAAGGCCAAGAAACCACGATGCCACAGGCAGACAGCCACCAGCCAGGACAATGATCTCAGGAGCTGGAACTGCTACCGTCAAGTATCAATGCCACAGACCGGGGGCTGGCACTCCAGGATGGATGGCTCACAGCTCTGAGGGCCAGAAGTCCAAGACTGAGGAAATGGCAAAGCAGGCTGCATCCTCAGGCTCCTTCCTTGGGCCTGTAAGCAGCTGTCATCGCACTGTGTGCACACGTGACCTTCTTGTGCAAAAGAGGGGAAAGGGAGAAATAGTTCTCTTCTTCTTATGAGGCCACTGATTCTACTGGATTAAGGCCCCACCCCTGTGACCTCATTTAACTGTAACTACCTTCATGAAGGCCAGTCTCCAAACAGTCACACTGGGGTTGGGGGGGTGGCCCTCAGCACATGGATGTGGAGGGACACAATGCAGTCTGGGGCCGACTTCAGAAGGAAGAATGCTCAGGCCCCAGGTGAGGCTGGTGCTGCTGATCCAGGCCCTTGGCCTCAGAGCCTGCAACACACCAGGACGCAGAGAATGGGGTCACTTGGAGCTACAGGACCTGCCGAGGGAACCCCAGCCCTGCTGGGGACGGGACCCAGAGTGGCTGAGCAGGACACTGGGCTCCCACGGGAGGGGCCGAGGGAAGGAAAGGCACCCCCACACTGGTGCCTGATGTTGACAGTGGGCATCCACTCAGGTGCCAGGCCTTGCAGGAAGGCCAAGATGCCCTCGCTCGTTTCATCCTTGTCACCCCCATTACAGGAAGGAAATGGGTAGCTTCGAGATCAAGCAGGCTGCCAAGGAGCCACTGTGGCGGAGGCACCAGTAGTGGCAACAATCGTGAGGCTGCTCTCAGAGGCGCGGCCTTAACCTCTGTCTCCCCTCGAAAGGAGAAAAGGGGCACAGGCTCACAGGTGATCTCCAATCAGAGAGGGACTCCAGGCACCAGAGGCCACACAGCACATGGTGTCAGGGACAGGCGCTAAGGCAACATAAAAGACCGAGCCACACAAGGAAAACACCTGACTTCACTGACAATGGAAGAAGTGCACCAAACTGGCGAAGGACAAGAAGCCCCAAACTGGCAAGGGCAGAAACAATAGGCAACCCCACACCACGGAAAGGACTGTGAGCTTGGAGGACGGGCACCCTGCAGAAAACTGACAGCCTGGGACCCCTTCCTAAGAATATGCCCTAAAAGGACACGGAGGTGGACGAGAAGGGCGCATCCTCACGGCTGCACTGATTTCAACGGGGAACACAGGAAATGACCCAGATGTCCATTAAAGGAGGATGGGCAGATGAAGTGGCATGGCATAGGATGTCGCTGTCTGAGCTCTTTGAAAAGATGAAATAGAGCTGTATGTGTTAATATGAAAAGATCAGCCAAGGTACTGTGAGAAAGGGAGTTACAATGTGTCTGCACTGTGATAACCTTCCTCCCGCTAAAAAGCTAGAGGAATAATTCGTGGACCAGAGTTTACTGGATTGGGGCTTTCACCTTCTACCTTATACATGTTTTATGGTGTGAATATTTTGGAATTGGCATACTTACGATCAGGCAGATGGTAGAAAAAAATAGTTTATTAAAATTATTTTTCCTATGTCAAATTGATCTAGCTTCCATCCAAGTTCTTCAAATTGGTGATGATGTTGGCTAAACCTCACAAAGCCCTGCTGTCCTCACAAGTCAGCGGGGCACCTGTGCTCTGCACTCACCGCCCCCCGCCTTCCGTTCACTGCACTCACACCCTTGTGCATGGTGACGAGGGTCTGTGGGCAGGGAGCCCCCCGAGCGCAGACCTGCATATGCAGTCGGTGTTAGTTACTCAGTCGTGTCCGCCTCTATGCAACCCCATGGACTGTAGCTTGCCAGGCTCCTCTGTCCATGGAATTCTCCAGGCAAGAATACTGGAGTGGGTTGCCATTCCCTTCTCAAAGGTATCTTCCCGACCCAGGAATCAAACCTGGGTCTCTCGCATCACAGGCAGGTTCTTTACCATCTGAGCCACGGGAAGCCCAGTGCCCCTCTGTTATCCCAGGGCCCCCCGAGTGCCTACACAAAAAGCTGATCAAGTGAACACGGCGATCTAGAGTGAGCACATCAAATCAATACGTAAGAACGTGTCAATCCAAGGCAGAAACACATTCCACTTTCAAGGGAATCTTGGAGAAAAAGGTTTATGAGTCTTTGAAATGGCCACACACACTCCAAACATTCTTAAGGTACAAAACTGATCCATCTGTCTAAATTTCTTAACAACAGTGGACAGTCAAAATGAAAGATGTCCAAATTTTCTACATTCCTGCTTCAGAAACTTAAAAAATATTTTCAGTCTACTCATTTGAAATCATAAATCAGACTTAACTGAATCAAAAAGGAAGTCTATCAACTCCAAAGCTTCCTACCGTGACTAATTCTTTCCCAAATACAAAGTGCTACGCATTTCTCGAGGGATGGTCCAGAATGCAAGACATTGTCCGTGAACCTATAATCAAACTTCCAACTCATACAGTTCATCAGTCCTCACTTTGCAAGTCGTCCCGCCCACCGGGCCTGCGTGGCTAAGGTCTAATTGCAGAAGCAGCCACGTGACAGTGAGGCCAGAGACCAGCGCCAGCAAAGACACTGCAGCCACGTACTGAACCACCACTAAGGCCTCATCCACATCAAGAGCCCAGCCACTCTCTCTCCAGATGAACCAAACATACACTGAAATAACAAATGCAAAATTAGTTTGAGTTTTTAGAGGAGAGGTTCTCCACAAAGGCGTCAATCACCAAGTCCAGGAACTAACCGAAGTGTTTACATTATAACCAACAGCAACTAACTAAACGAAAACACTACAAGGACATACTTGCCTTCATTTTCAAGCAGGCAAATCACTATAATTCTAATTTGACCATAAACTAAGGTTGTGCACGGAATTCTAATAACCTCCTTTTCAAGACAGAATGATCAAATGATCAAATCAAACCTCAGCAGTAAATGGGACAAGAGATATCATGTTCCCTGACACAATGCCCTGAAGACAGACACACCATTGCTCGAAGGTTACTCTGATCAAAAAAACAGCCTTAACCTAAGTCTGAACGGGGTGGGTGTGTGTTCCCAAAGTGTATTAGTAGCTCAGTTGTGTCCAAATCTTTGTAACCCCATGGACTGTAGCCTGCCAGGCTCCTCTGTCCATGGAATTCTCCAGGCAAGAATACTGGAGTGGGTAGACATTCCCTTCTCCAGGGAATCTTCCCGACCTAGGGATTGAACCTGGGTCTCCTGCATTGCATGTGGATTTTTTACCATTTGAGCCACCAGGGAAGCTCCAATGTCAGGCGCAGGGGAATATAACTTGCTAATCAGGTTGTTACTAATAAGCTGACTTATCACAAAGAGAAGAAATTCCTGATTTCTGAAAGTCACCAAATTATAACTTCCATGAAGTTTCACCTGCTGCACATGCCAGAAACATGACCCACAGAGCAGCACAGTGATGACCTCGTTGCCTCCAGTGATGAACTCCCGTGAACTTTTCTGCAGAGCCGTGTCCAGAGTGCCTGCCCCAGGCGTAGCACTGTCCCTAGCGCTGGAAGACAGCAACTCCTTCCTTCATGGAGCTGAACTGCAGTCTAGCAAGGAGTCAGTCAACTAGTAAAATACAACTAAAATAAGTGAAAGGAGAAACAAAGGAAGAACTACAGCAGCACAAAGGAGACAGGCAATTTGGAAGAAAGGGCGTGATCTTAAAGTGGGGATGGGGAAGCCCCCAGAAGAGGACTCTGAAGGTCTAGAAGTAGAACGGGGGGTGGGGGGTCGCTGGGCAGAGGGTGCAGGGACCAAAAGTTAGGTCCTCTGCAGGAAACAGTCCGGAGGTGGCGGGCGGATGCGGAGCCCAGGCAGGGAGCTGCTGCAGGAATTCCTGCAGGAAGAACGGCCACGTGGGCGGGTGGCAGAAGAAGAGGCAGGCGGTGTCGGACTCCGCCACACAGTTCTGACAGCAGAGCCAGAAGGCTCTGAGGACACATCTGATGCAGCGAGAGAAGGGGGAGCAGGGGAGGCGTCGACGAGCATCCCAGGCCTCCATCCCAGACAGCTCCTGCCTCTGATCTGATCCCAGCGCTGGTCGCACGCAGGACACACGGTCCTGGGAAGCAGGCTGTGAGGGTGGTGTTCCCTCCCTTTATCACCGCAGGGAAGAAGCCTGAACTGGCAAGGGTTTTGTCTGTATAAGGTAGTGCTGGAAACAAAACAGGAGCCTGGATTTCCTTCCCAAGTGTAGGGTTTTTCCACTATGTCATGTGGCTTTTTTTGGTCTTCCGTTTGTTTCTTTAAGGTAGAGTGTTACCATATATGGAAGATGGAGAAGGCTTGTTCCGAGGCGTCTCCGAAGCTGGCCTGGACCCACGGAGCCGCCTCACCTGAGCTCACCTGCAGCTGGCGCTCAGACAGCTCCCTGGACCGGGCAGGGGTGGGCCCTCTGTATGCCCACCTCGCGCAGGGGAGACCGCTGATTCTGAAAGGGAGCCACATAACTGGGAGGACAGCAACGGCCCATCCAGCCCTGGGAACCGGAGCACGCTCCAGGGCCGAGCCTCGGGCTTCAGCTCCCAGCTCTGCACTCCCTGAGGAGGCTGGTCTTTCTCACCATCACCTGTGAAACCCTCACAGCCTTCCCCAGACACGATTCTCACCCCAGGAGACAGGCACTCAGCTAACCCGTAAACTCGAAAAGCAAATGTTCCAGACAGAATGTTTCCCTTTCTCATTTGTTGCTGCCAGAAGGGTGTTCCTTTTCCCTCCCTCTGTGGCACCTGCACCCTCGATGCTCCACCACTGCCCTGCTGGGCTGCTCGGGCCCTCAGTCCATCTGCTCACCCAGCCAGAGAGGACGGTTCTGACTGGTGCTAAGCCACTCCATCTCCATGTGGGTAATTAGAGCATGATGGTGGCCAGGAAGGCAGATTAGGCTACTGAGGCCGAGAGAAGGGGGTCTATGCTGGGCGATAGACAGCCAGGGTAGGTCTCCTGGAGCAAAGACTGTGGCTGGAGGCAAAGGAGGGGCGGAACCAGGGTTCAGAACCAGAACCTCAGGGGAGGCCAGGCGGGTGGGCGGGGCTCCGGCAGAGGGCGTGGCCTGCACAGCAGCTGGAGCAGAAAGCAGGCAGAGGGTTCAAGGCCAGGGCAGAGACACCAGGGTCCTGGAGGGGCCGAAGGATAAGAAAGTCTTAAGAATCACGCCAGAAGCCCTGGCCTGTGGGAAGACAATGAAGCCAACAGAGGGTATTCAGCAGAGAAGTGACAAGATGGGGCTTTGGAGGGAAAGGTCACTTTGAGTGCAGTGCGAGGCTTACTCTTGATTCCTCCTCTGGGAATCTCTGCTGTGGTCCATCCCAGAGAGCGACCCTGCAGAAAAGGTCTCATCAGCTGTGCCCAGCTCCCCCAAAGCCTCTGGACTCCAAACGGTCTTGACACCCTTGTCAACAAAACAGCATTCTGATCCTATTGTTCTCATTTCAAACAGAATTGTGGCAGCTCCTGAAATCAAACAAAACCTACTGCTCCTAATGGTGTCACAACTGCCAGTCACCCACTCTGTTCCAGCACAAGGAGAGGAAAAAAAAAAAGGTGTTTGTACACTGCTCCTGAAGTGGAGGATGGCCTTTGAATTAAAATGAGAAAAACTTCCTTAAAATGTCCACACTAGCTTCTATTGCAATTTAATTTAGAAAGGAGTCTTTCCTTTCAGCGATGCATACTGAAATATTTTAAAATAAAATACTGTGCTGTCTGGGATCTGCTTCTAAATAATACAGAGCACAGGGCAAGCTGGTGTGTGTGAATGAAATAAGACCAGCCTTGAGTTAATAATGAAGCTGGTGGAGGGTCTGTGATGGCCCACATGAACCTTCTGTCTACTTTCATGGGTTAGAAAGCCTCTACTGCTTAGGCATCCCGAAGTAGTCAGACTTCATAAAAATCCCTCTTCATTTGTTCTGTTACTTTTCCCTATAAAAGATGATGACACCAAACATTACCCTCAGAGGTTAAGCTACAGTGATACACCAACACACGCTTCATAAACGAAAACGGACTTCATAAACGAAAAAGGCAAGTTGCTCAATGGTGAATTTGTATCTTCCTGCCACCGAAAAGCAACTATTTTAGTCAAACAGTTCCACTCAGCACTGACAGGTGTGCAAAGTTAGAGGCGATTGCATTAACAGGTATTACTGCATCTCCAAACCACCTCCTTACGTTCACAACACATCTTCTGCTTCATTTGTTAACTCCCAACTCTACATAGGAAACATGTTCAGTAAACATGACGCTATGACTTTCAGAGTCATGACTTTCAAGGTTGCAGAGGACACTGGAGGTTCAAGTCAGCCAGCCATTTGAGGTTTTTGTCTCTAGATCAATATGCATGTGTAACCTGCCAGGATTCAGACGGTAATCTGGTGGCTCAGAAGGCAAAGAATCCACCTGCAATGCAAGAGGCCAGGGTTCAATCTCTGGGTGGGGAAGATCCCCTGGAGAAGAAAATGGCACCTACTCCTTATTCTTCCTGGAGAATCCCATGGACCAAGGAGCCTGGCAAGTTGCAGTCCATGGGGTCATAAACAGTCAGACAGGACTGAGCGACTTTCACTTTTCATTGCTGCCTATACCACACACAGTAGAAAATGGGAAGACCCTTCCTAGTATCAGCCTAAAGAAGCATCACCTTAGAAAACAAAACAACATTAGTAGCTCCATGTTGTGTTAGAGCTTCTGTCATAAGACAATCGCAGGATGCAACAAAATTCTGTGCACAACAGTTTTCGAAAAGCAAACTTCCCCATTTTGCACTTCCCCACAATGTGTGTGCAGTGTTACTCCTCGCTCAATGTTTAAAGTCAAAGTCATCAAATAACGAGAGATTTCATTACCACCCTGCACTGACAGAGACCAATATTAATTATTGTTTGAATTAACCTCTGAGCCATGGTTTTCATCAGCACTCAGAAAAGACAGGGACGATTTCTAATTACACGCCACCCTCATTATAAGTCACCAGGCCGCAAAGCTGTATCTGATGAGGCTGCCACACTTTTGCCTTGAGACTGCTTTGGACTCCATTATAACCTTCTCCTTGAAATGGGATTTGGTGAGCCTCAGAGACGCTCTCCCCAGGGGTGACCACATCCATCCCTTAGGACTGAGATGTGGGACTGCACGGGAGTCTATGAGCAAAAGTCCTGTGCTGTGCTAAGTCGCTTCAGTCGTGTCTGACTCATTGTGACCCCATGGACTGTAGCCCGCCAGGCTGCTCTGTCCATGGGATTCTCCAGGCAAGAATACTGAAGTGGGTTGCCATGACCTCCTCCAACTCACGTTTACACTTTGCCGTAAAGATGGGCAGCAGCATCTTATCACAGCACCACGTGGACAAAACTTCAGGGGTCCAGTAAGTGGAACAGAACTGACGGGACCACTGCAGTATCACACTGATTGTTTCTCCAAATGTTAACTGGCTCTGGTTGATTTTGTGTGAAAATAACCTGACAATGACAAGGGAAAAAATCCAACAAGAGAGAAGAAGATATGTGGTGTGTGCTCTCACATCTAGTGTGTGCACATACATACGTCAGAAGAGTATGACCTAATTTATTTTTTGTCTACACCAAGTGGCATATAGGATCTTAGTCCCCAGATCAGGGATCAAACCTGTGGCCCCTGAAGTGGAAGCACGGAGTCTTAACTGCCGGACCACCAAGGAAGTCCCAAGATGAATAAAAATTGAAAAATGAGTTTCAGTTCTCTCTCCCACCGCCGACCCTGATCTCATTCCCCAAAGACAATTAAGTTTCCTGTGTGCCCTTTCCTGCCTATATGAGCACACAGATGTGAGTGCACACAGATCTTTCTAGCCCTTTCTCAGGCGGGAGTCTGGGAGGCAGACATCCAAGCCGCCGGTCAACACGCCAGCTGCAGCCACTCCACAGGGCAGCTTCGGGGCTGCTCCTGCAACCACACTGCTCTCTAAAGTACACCTTTCATTCTAGTCTCAGAAAAATGCACCGTCTTTAAGTCCTAAAAGCGTCAGGCCCATCATCCGTGACACAGATATGCACACCTCGAACACCTGGAGATTAAGGACTCAGGTACAGCATTGTAGGATTGCTAAAACAATGGCAAGAGCAGTAGAGGGCAGATAAAAACAGACCTGTGAGCTCAACCCAAGAAGACATCGAGCTGCCGAATCTTGATTAGAACTAGATTTTAAATTTGATGAAGTCAACTCTCTGTTAGCATGGCAGTTTACCAGCGTTAGCACAGGTGATCCACTAGAGACAGACAGAATGTTATCTCCCATAAGGCAGACAGAGAAAGCTGAGTGGCGTGCTCACCACTCAGCCATCCACATGGTGGTCACAGCATCTGTCCCCCATCAGGCATGCATTCAGGGTTTTGTTACTGAAAAGAAACTCTGCTGGGACTGCCATCATCAGGGAGATAGTGACAAGGTTTTTAAAACTGAAAAGTCTACACGAGAATCATAATGATTTAAGAACATGTATTTTGATATCTCAAATGTATTCAGATTTTGAAACGCCGTAAGAGACTCTTTCAGGGACTTCCCTGGAGAAACAGTAGTTAAGACTCTGCGCTTCCAACACAAGGGGTTCGGGATCGATCCCTGGTCGGGGAACTAAGATCTCACATGCTGCACGGCCAAAAATAATAACAACAACATATAAAGAAGAAACTGCAATCTGGAGAATTCTTTCCCCAAAGCTAACAGTGAATTTTTGTAAAGCTTTCAAGAACAAGCATGAACAAGATTATTAAGGGAATTAAGACTGTGAATTTAAAAGAATCTCTAAAAGTACTCCTACTAACCTGGATGTGTGAATCTCTAAGTCTTAAATACCCCAACAAATTTAAAATATTTGAGATGATGCAAAGTATTACTAAAAGACACTTTTAAATTCTTCTATAAGAAAATTCTTATCTTTAGATGTCAATCTCTACTTTGTTGTCATTAGCACTAAAGTTTCCTTTCACCCTTAAACACAGTTTCAATTCTATTTAGAAACTTTACAGTGTACAGGATGTGAGACACCCTATGCTTGGTCCTGGGAACAAAAAGTAAACAAGAAATTCCTGATGAACCCTAACAGGACACAACATGATTTAGCACTCTAATAACTCAGTTACAAAATAACAGCATTTACCTGAGCTGTTGTTTGTTTTTGTTTTTTTTTTAATTAAATCAAAACCTGTAAACCTACTCCTATAGGTTGTCTGCTATGGGGATACAGAAATAAGATGAATGAGTTTCTGTGATTTTTATACTATACCTACCTTCCCCACCTTCTTCTAACTTCATGATGAATTCTATCAATTCTAGACACAGGATTGCCCCCTCTAAAGGAATCCATTTCACAAAGTTAATCAAAATATCGCAAGCTATACAAAAACACCTTGGTTGCATCTTAGGGAATGTACAATTCAACTACCTATTTTAGAAATCAGACCTAACCTTTAATAGGCACAATCAGGAAAGTACTAATAAAAAAAATACTAAAGTTAAAAAAATAATAAAATTTAAAAAAAAATAAAAACTAAAATAGACGTAGACTGTCTTCAAAGAACTTATAAAAGAAAACAGGAGTCTAGATATGTCAGGGCAATGTCATCTTAAACATTTTGCAAAGCAGTGTGCCACAGGCAGAGCCCAGTGCCAAGGAGAGAGGTGGTCCTCCAGCGGAAGGGTCGGGCAGCGAGGACCCCATGGGGGCCTTGCGAGCAACTGGAAGGCAAGGAGATGCTATGTCTCACCTGTGTGTTTGCTGACTGAGTTATCTACAAGGGGGCGTGAGCACCAAGAACTAGACAGAAGATGATGTGAGGTAAGGACACTGGATTCTTTGGCTAAGAATCAGAAACGGCTTTACAGAAGTAGCACTTGAAACAGAACCTGAAGACAAATAGGATTTTGACAGGTGAAGCTGGGGGGTGGAATGGACGCGGGGCAAAAGAGAACAGAGGCACAGAGGCCAGGAGCTGCTGGGTGCTCAGGGACGAGGCAAGCCTGGTCACAGGATGTGTTTAAGAGCAAATACCATGGCCACAAAGTCAGGTTGGCATTAAGAATGAAAGACCTAAAAGAAAAAAAGAATGAAAGACCTGAGTCTCCTGAGTTTCCCGGGGGGGCCCTCCTGAGACTTCACATCTCTGAATTCACGCACACCACACATTCTTCCTACTTCCTAAATTCACAGCTTTGTTTTACTCCCTCCCCCTCTCCAGGACCACTCTACTCCTTCAATCCTGCATGAAAACTATTGCCTCCAGGAACTCTCCAGATTTTAACGGTAAACAATGTTTAAAAGAACTTCCCTCTTCTTCACATAAGAAAATTAACTTTCAGCATGTTCACTTATTCTCATGACAAAATATCTTAACTGACAGATTTAAGACATCTTATATCAGCAAAGCATAATGAAATGACTATACTTTTGTCCTCGTAATGTGAAGATAAATGTGTTACTCTCTAATTCATCTTTTTGTGTGTTACAACTCTAATTCTTACTTTTTATAATGACTCTTCAAAAGTTAGAGCAAGATCCTCCATGAATAAGGCCTGTAAGGTGCGATTACAGAACACGTGGTCCAGGATAACCCATGCATGGGGTCCTTTCACCACCAAGGCTGCTCAGACCTGGTTTTAGCCTACGGTTTACATTGTGTCTACTTAACCAGATGCGGAATTCTAGTCAAGCATAAAAATACTCCCTGGTCTCATAAAATTCACTATTTTATCAAATGTTTAAAAATATTAAATACTCTAAATAAGTGCCATACTAAATTATTCCTGTCTACTTTATGAAGGTCACACCAATTTAAGAATTCAAAATGACTCAACTACCTAATCCACATTCAAATATGAACCATTTTAAATAATTCTGCACAGTTGTAATTAGAAAACAAATAAAAGATTAATCAGAAAATTTGCCACATCACCCAACAACAATCAGATGGAATGAACATAATCACCACGTAAAAGTCTGCGGGTCTGTAGTAAATACTCTGCGCTGTTTGGAATTGCAGAGCTGGAGTCTGCTGACAAAATGGGATTCATCCTTTCAGGATGCCCACAGTGAGGAGGCACCTGTTTTAGAGTCAAGAATGTCTCATCAGGACTTCCCTCCTGGTCCAGTGGCTAAGACTCTGCGCTCCCAATGCAGGGCACCTGGGTTTGATCCCTGGTCAGGGAACTAGATCCCACACGCCGCAACTAAAAAAAGGGGTGAGGGGGAAATCTCATGTGCCACAAAGAAGATGGAAAATCCGTGTGCCAAACAAAACTAAGACCTGGCACCGCCAAAAAATAAAAATATTTTTAAAAAAGCCTCATCTACCCACTATGTGTGCGGCTTTGGGCAAATCCTAAATTTCTTCATCTGTAAAATGTCATCTGGATTACAATGCCAGTTTTAAGGCGCCTGATAAGCAATAAAACACAGTACCAATGTGACTCACTCTATTACTTAACGTTGATCAACGCACACGAGTTGATGTAAAGAACCATGTGGTTTTCCTCCCTCTGTTTTCTACGTGTGTCATCTTTATCCTTGTACTTTAGATCTATATCTCAGTGAGGGGATGCGTGTATTTCTCTGAAGCCCGTGGATCAAACCATTAGGAAGAACCCTGCCATTTTCACTCCATGAGGTTTATTTATAAATTAAGTCAGTAACACTCAGGAAGTAGTTAGGAATAATGGAGTATGGCTTATGTTAACAGCATTTAATATTTTTGCAAACTTGGTAACAGCAAGTTATCCTGCACATGTAAATTTCATGCATAAGCCCGAGTAACAAGTCTAAATCTTCAGTGAGCCCAATTTTTCAATGAAGCCTAACAATTCAGTAACCATCAACCTAGAGCTATGAAAGAAACAAATAAGCATGTTTACACCTATACACCTCTTTGTCCCCAGTGAATTCATGCTCTGGTTGAATGGGCAAGGCCTAAATAGGTAACCTCACTTCCTACTCTGTGGGGCAAACAGGCGCCCCTTCCCATCTGCCCCCATCCACTGCTCCTGCCCGCCTGTCACCACAGGTCGGGCTGGTCCCCCACACCTGGCCTGCGTCCCCTCCCCCGCTCTCGGGAATCTTGCCCTTTGCTCTCCCATACCGTCCTATATAATCTCTCAAATGGATCTTTCCCACCTGCTAAGTCTCTGCCATCTGATTCTAGAAAAAGGAGAGAGAGAGAATGTCGCCTGGTTTGGAAGGGACGGGAGAACACACTGGGGAGCCTGCCCCGTGGTGACTGCTACAGCCAGTGTGTGACTGTGGACCTTTCACAACCCAGGGAGCTGCGGGAACAAGTGGGTCTGGAGGTCCAGCCAGAACTCCACCACGTGTCCAGCAAGGCCTTCTCGCTAGCATCACAGGCACCCAGGTGCTCGGGTGGCCGCACAGTCATCAGTCACCCAGTGAGCTGGCCAGGCAGGCGAACCAGAAGCCCGCGAGTCACCCAAGACACCCTCCTCTGACGGCTCCCACCCAACTACCAAGTTAACCTGTGAAATCCACCTCAGCCCACCTGCCTCTGTCCACACATCCACGCCCACCACTCGAGGCGGGATCTTCACTTCCCCTCGTGACTAGGCAGCGGTCTCCCCACCCCCCCGAATCCCACCAACCTGCGTGCAGCACAGCCTGACTGTGGGCTCGGGCCAAGCAGGAGGACCCCGGCTCACACTCAGCTTCCTCGGGTGAGCCAGTCGTGCATCCCAGTCAAGCACCCACGACCCGCCCCACAGCACCATGCGCTCCTCTTTTTGTTGTTGTTACAGTTACACGTGTGTGCGGCTACCTGCTTCACATCCATCCATCCCACTGGCTGTGGGCACCTGGTATGGTTCTGCCCACCTCTGTGTGCCCCGTGCTGGGCACGGAGCCCTGACAACAAACAGTGTAACTGCTCCTCTGGATCAGCCAATAAAACAACTAATTCTATGGCAAGTACTTTAGGGACGGGGAGAGAAAATATATACTCAAGCATATGAGCACTGCGGAAACTCAAACAAGGGAAAAACTTCACGATGAGTGGTGTAATAAGTTTTAAAATAGTGTAGGAGGGGACCTACACTATTGGTGGGAATGTAAGCTGTGGAAAACAGTACAAGGAGGTTCCTCAGAAAACTAAACACAGAATCACCACACGATCCAGCAATCCCACTCTGAAGCATATATCCAGACAAAACTATAATTCAAAAGACATTTACACCCCCACGTTCTTAAATGTACTAGTCACAACAGCCAAGACAAGGAAGCAACCTAAATGTCCAACAACAGATGAATGAATAAAGATGTGGTACATATATACAACGGAATATTACTCAGCCACAGGGGAAAAAAGAATGCTATTTGCAGCAACATGAACACAAGTAGAGATCTACATGAAGTAGATCAGAAAGAGAAAGACAAAGACCATATGATGACATTTATATATGGAATCTAAAATATGACACAAATGAACCTATTTATAAAACAGAAATAGAATTGGGGACACAGAAGAGACCGATAGTTGCTAAGGGGTGGGAGGGTGGGAGAATACTAGACTGGGATTTTGGGATTAGCAGATGCAAACTGGTATACACAGAATGGAAAAAAACAAGGTCCTGATGTATAACACAGCAAACTATATTCAATATCCTGTAATAAACCATTATGGGAAAGAAAATAAAAAAGAATGTATATATATTTATGTATAACTGGGGCTTCCCTGATGGCTCAGATGGTAAAGAATCCACCTGCAATGCGGGAGACCTGGGTTCGATCCCTGAGTTGGAAAGGTCCCCTGGAGGAGGGCATCGCAATCCACTCCAGTATTCTTGCCTGGAGAATCCCCATGGACATAGGAGCCTATCAGGCTACAGTCCATGGGGTCGCAAAGAGTTGTACATGACTGAGCACAGCACATATTATAACTGAGCCACTATGCTGTACAGTAATCACTAACACAACATTGTAATTCAACTATACTTCAATTTTTAAAAAAGCAAAGGGGAGAACCAGGAGGAAAGGGGGCCCAAGACTGCACCAATCAGAGAGCAGCAGATCAGTGGTGGTGAAGATGAGCTCATGGGAGCGGAGGAGAGTCAGGTAAGGGGAGGGTGGGTGGCGAGAGTCTTCAAAGGTAGGTGGAAATTTCACACTGCCGACCCAGGAGCTGAGACAGACTGAGATCAAGATCAATCTGGCAGAATGAAGTCAGATGCAGGAAGAGGCAGGGGTCATGGGCTGTTTCAGAGAGGAGACAGAGCAGGAGCTGGAGAACTGACTCAATGCGGCGAAGGGGCGCGGTCTGGGAGACTGGAACCAAGGTGGCACCCCGTGGTAGGAACACGGGTGGAACAGTCCTTCCAGGAGGGGTGAGCAAGGCAGGCTTCAGCGCGTGCACAAGAACACAGAAGGAACTTTACGATGCTGCTAAACAAACACCACAAGGGCCAAGGCCCTGCTTCCAGTCACTGGGGCATCCTGAGTTTGTCTCCGACCTGTGGTGATGCCAACGGGGTAGAGACTGTCATTTCAACGGTCAGAGTTTTAACCAAACAGGATTTCAAGAACTCATCCTGAAACGGTGTCCAAGATTCGAGTACTGTAATGGAGAGGCTGAAAGCACAACTTTTTGTCTTTGCTTCCTTGACTTCTTTTGTTTCCTACCCGTAACCCCACCTGGACCAATGGGAGAGGAAGGGAAGCGTCCTGGAGCTTCAGCACCATCACCAGTCCACTGGCCAAAGACATTTCCCAGCAGAATTAGGGGACGGCACATCCTTTGTGGAAACTGCAGGATAACCCCATCTCCCTGTGCCTCACCTGAGCACCCCTCTCCATCACCGGCCAGGTGAGCAGGTAACTGGACTCACCATGAAGCTCCAGGTCCTAAGAGAACGAGCTGATCTCGGGCAACTGCAAAGCTGTGATGGGCAGGGGCTGAGGTGAGAGACTTTGTTTTTAAGTTTACAACTGAAACCACAGTCTCCTCCTCCCCATGTGCTCGTCACTAGGAGGTCTTAATATAAAAAGCTTTATTTAGTTAGTGGACTCAATAGATTCCAGTTGGTCTAGGAAGTTGGAAGGGACAGCTAAGTTGAAGAGGAAACCACAATCAGAGCTAAAAGAGTCGAGGTATGAGGTGAATACAGCAACCTATGGTGGACACCAGGGGGGAGATTCAGTCTAAAGTGTAATATTTGGAAAAAGAAATCCCATATCTTCGAGATTATATACCCAACACATTTGGAGAATTAGCATTAAAACAGAGGAAAAGTAACTAACATTTTACAAAGTGCTCACTGTGGGCCGAGCACTGGGCTTCACACACACACAATCCCCACAACACCCCCTAAGGCGGTACCTGCCCATAATTTGTAGATGAGGAAGAGGACATTAAAGCCATCAAGCAACGCTCTGAATCACAAAAGTGCTAAGTGGAGGAACTGGGTTTTTCTTTCTTTTTTTTTTTTTTTTGCCTGGTCTCCAAAACCCAACACTGCAAGGGAGAAAACACAGGCCTCCTCCCACCGACCCTGCACAGAGCCCGACCAGGGGCCAAAGGATTTGCTCAAGAGGCAGAAACAGCCTCTGCCTGCAGCAGGTAGCCATCCTCTGCAGAGAAATCAAACAACCCTCAGTGGTGACGCTGCCTGCCCCGAAAAAGAGTGGGGGAGACGCTTGTAAAAATCCCCAGGAAGGTTAAAAATATCTTCTAAATTCACATACAGCTGTTACCTAACCAGATACCTTTCAAAGAGAAGAGCTGTTTTCTGTTGTTTTTTTTTCCCCTCACCAAATCCACCTCTCCTAATAAAGTTCTTTTTAAAAACTGCAATTACTTGATAAAAAGCTATTCCCAGTGAGTCATATTAAGATATACTCCCATTATACAGTATAGACTACTATGCCAGGAAGAACCCTGGTCCAATCAGACAGTTAGTGCTTTGTGGAGAAGCCACAGTGTCACCTTTAAGAAACACCCTCTCCATTACGAGTAAGTCCCATCCACTCCCAAATACAGGTTTATGTAGAAAAGAGGAAGGAGGAATAAGGACCTGCTTCGCCTGAAGGGACTCACACTTCTTCACAGAAATGAAGATGCTGAGGAAGGAACGTCAGACTTTCTGCAGGTGACGCCCACGACTGAAGGCCTACTCTATGTCCGTGGTCTTGTCCGTCACGACGACCCTTCACTGGCACTTCCTCACACTCAGGGCTGTCTCACGAGACGGAGACTAACCCCGCATCGCTGCTGCTGCGGATAAAGGCGTGTGCACCACGACTCTGCATCTGACCCTTGGTCTGCAGACCCGGCCGAGATGCCGTCACCTGCCTGCATGTGATGGGTGATGACTGCATGCGGCCTCACTTTCCATCAGATTATTTTCTGGCCCAAAAAGACATCATCCACAAACCTCACTCAGCTTACAAGTCACATGAACACACTGTTCCAACCTGTGAGGCCAGCCCCCTGCTTCTGGAAGGTCCTCGCCGCCCTACCTCTCCCAGGCCTCAGGTCCTGCTGGGTGCGCCCGGCACTGGCTCCCTGGGGAACTGAGCCTGCAGAGTTCAAGGCGCTTTCCCAGGGCCACGTAAGAACCAGGTTCTGACTCCAGAACCCACGCCGCCACCTGTAAGGTGACACTGCCTCCAGCGGTCACCGGGAGCAGAGCTGGCGGCGCTGCACCTCCCCGGTGCATAGACCCCTTCCATTGGGTTAAGCGGGACCTCGAGACCAGCCCTGGAGCCGACCACGTGTTTAAGTCTCCATAACTATTTCACCACCTGATGCGGTGTAACCCCATCGTGTGACATCATGCATGGTGGTCTCCTCATTCTGTGGTCCTTATTCCTTTGGGTTTCCGCTTGTCTTCATCCAGGTGTGGTTTCCATCAGGTCAATGCGCTGTGATGCCAAGCATCAAAGGACAAGGCCCGTGCACCTCCCACAGCTGTCATTGCTATGACGTGGTAAGCTTCTAGAAACATCCCAGACACAGCGTGTGAAGGTGAAAGCTGCCAGTATGGCTGGAAAGAGCCTAAGGCCAGCAATCACCAAGTATCGATTCAGTCTTTAGTTTTACTCCTAATGACATAGTTACAGCATGTGGGATCTAGTTCCTGACCGGGGATCAAAACCTGGCCCCCAGCACTGGGAGCACAGAGCTGTAGCCACTGGACCACCAGGGAAGTCTTGGAACAACTAAGCCCATGCACCACAACTGCTGAGCCTGCGCTCTAGAGCCCGGGTGCCGCAACCACCGAAGCCACGTGCCACAGCTAGAACCCGCAGAGCCGAGGGCCTGTGCATCCCAACAAGAGAAACCGCCGCGGTGAGAAGCCCATGCACGCAACCAGAGAGGAGCCCCCGCTCACCACGGCTAGAGAAAAGCCTGCAGCAGTGAAGACCCAGCACAGAAAAACTAAATGAAATTATAATAAAATAATTCCACAAAAACAAGCTCTGGCTGTGAAACAATAACAATAAACAAGGTGGGGGGGAACACCCAGTTCAACTAACACATGATGCACTAAGAGCAGAAAGTGAAGGACAACCCTAGAAGATGGTGGTGCCTCACAGTCCTGCCCTAGTTCCTACTCTGGTTTTCTATGCCCCCACCCCACCCCATTCAACACAGAGACAGGGCTCTCAGGAAGGAAGCAGAGAAGCTGGGACATATTTCATAGCCAGGAGGAAGACGCAAGGCTAGCTGCAGCTGAACAGGTTATCCTAGTTTTTTGTTTTTTTTTTTTTTTTAAGTAACATGTAATAAAACAGATCTATCACACGTCCCTGACTCCCCTCTGGGTGACCAGCAACACATCAGTTAAAATATCAACATTTGAAAATATATATATATATATATATATCAACATTTGGCAATGTTGAAATCATCTCAGTCCTTCTTGGACATCATTCTTTGGTGACATTAAAGTAACTGTTTGTATCACCCAAGAGAGAAGAATCTATGGTGTAAGACAGAGAGAGCCCTGTCCTGTTGCCCCCTTCGTTATAACCCAAGTCCACATCACCGTGTTAAAACCACTCCTTATTCAACCACAAGACACGGGGGAAATCCAGAAAACCCCGACCGAGGTATCAGAAGAACATGCTCTACAGGTCGTCGCCACAATCGTACGCTCAGCGTTTCCTTCATAACTAGCTGCTCTCAAGTCATCTACTGCTCGCTGCAGCGCCCAGAAGGGCGTTCTCTCTCACCTTCATCTGAAACCTCTACAGTCATACTAATAGACGCCGAGGCTCTTAAATCTTTACACCTCTCACTTTCACATTCTCTTTCCTAAGAAGCAAAGCAAGCCATGACGGTGTAAATAACTGCTGGTCTTAATCAGGGGCTGGTACTGAAGCAGGCGCTACTCTAACCCATCTCATCGATGAGGAAACTGAGGCTGGGCGTTAAGCAACGTGCCCAAGGTTCCAAAGGTAGTTAAACCCAGGCCGACTGCAGAGCTCTGATCTTCCCACCATGCTGCTTATCTGACCTCCAATTAGGCATTTAAAGAATCTGTACATTGTGATAATTTCATCGGAGATTTTTGTTTCTTATGGCTGGTGGAGAGCGCATCTCTGACTTTGTCATACTGGGTCCCCTTTGGGGTCTATGTTCGTTCTCTTCATTCTAGCTTCACACTACCTGATGCAAAATCCTGTCAAATTATCCTAGATGCAAAAAAAGAAGAAAGAAAGGCCGCCTTTCCATGCTTTCTATCGCTGAATAATTATATTTTTAAACTCATAAGCAAAATCCATTCATTCTGCATTTGCAGCGCGTGGGCACTAACCCAGCACTAAACTCGGAATCTATACCCAAATACCTGATTGTTTGTCAAGTCAGGCTTTCAGTGGTTAAGCAGCACGTTTCTTGTTTTACTGGGAGTTTTAATAGATTTTGGCATCACCCTTGTGGAATAGCCTTGGTGACTCTGTTTTATGGTACCCAACGTGTTGACAGCAGTCTGGCAGATTAACGCTATAAAAAGTGGTCCACTGTCTGCTTACATTAGGTCCGGTAGCCACGCAGGTTCATGCTGAAATGCCTGATTCATGAGCCCATCTCGGCTGCGCCGCACATGCTGTTCATAAGGGGCACAGCAAGGTGTGCAGGGGGTGGCTCCAGGTGTGATTAAAGTGACAGGCACCATGAAATTCTTCTGCTAAAGACTGGAGGCTTAAGTTCCCACTCCCGAGCATTCAGGCAACTTTCCTTTTTGTTCGGTAAACAAAACTGAAAAATACGAATGACTGCAAAGTGGAGGTGTTCTCATTTTTCACTCATTACTATATTTCACTGATTCTAACTCCTACTTCTATTTCACATGCCCATAGGTCAGAAATAGGACCTGTCTTACAACTGGTACCATCTTAGCGTGATGAAACACAATAATGCAATGTGGTTGTGTGTATTTCAGATCCTATCGTTTAAGTTTTACCATCAACCCATTTATTCATAACTAAGTTAGAAGACAGTGTTAAAAATCTTTTTCCTTTTCTTATTCTCCTCTGTTTGCCATAGAAGACATAAAAAAGAATGTTTGAGATAAATGAAAGGTAACATAACTTCAAGGAGACGAAAGCTTTGAAGCTATTTTATTATAAGCGCAAAGCTGTTGCCCTCCTTCGAAGAAAATAGAGCCTGAAGGCTTCTCCAGGTTGCATGCAACCTCAATGTGCTTCTTTTATGAAAAAGACACAGTTCCAAGGTAGAAGGGTTCCAGATGCTTAAGACTTCCCACCTGCACACATCGACTCACTCCAAGACACAGCAAGCCTTTTAACTCAAGCTCAAACACTTTCAGGAGGTTGGTTTCTCCTCCACCTCCCCAATATCAAAATCATGCTCACATATTTAAACAATTAGGTGAGATGTACAGAAGCTAGCACTGTAATCCGAACGCTAAGGGCACAATAGATACTAACCAAATTCAGATCTCATCTACAGAAGTTTTTTCAAAGATGATTCTTGTTTTCCTGGATTTCAGAAAACTTAAAAAAAAAAAAGAGGCAGGGGTCTCGTAAATTCAACTTACTACAGAACAAAATTTCTTTAAGATAGAAAAAAATAATCCAAATACCACTCAGTGACCTAGAAAACAAACGGAAGAGGCAACTTTGGGGGTAATAATTTCAGAAAAATAAGTAGTTGAAATTACTTGATAAAGATTTTCTTGTCTATACCAGGAAGCACTGAAAACTGTCAGGCTTCCTTGTTCCACCTCAGGAGTAAGAGATGCTTCTCAGCATGGTGACAGTTGTTTTTCTTGATTATGCAAAGTGCCTCTCAGTATAAAATTAAGAAAATATTTAAGAATGTAAATTTGAATGTAAAGATGAATCAAAGTATATTTAAAATAAAATTTTAAATACAAATTAAAATAAACACAACCCTCAGTCGACATTCGTGGAGAGCAAACAACGCAGTAAGCACCGTGTGAGGTAGTTCAGACATCACTGCATGAATAAAAACAGGCCTAGGAGCTGAGCACTGCCACCATCTCGCCCAGCCTCAGCTGAAGGAACTGAGTCTCAGATTAAGTTTAAAACTTGCCTGTGGTCACAGAGCTATGAAGTCACGTATCCAAGTTCATACAGTCAGTAAATGGCCAGGCAAGGATTCAAATCTGACCTGTGTAACTCTGTAATCGGAGCTTTTAAAAGTGAAACTGCCAATCCCTGAAACTACTCATTTTTTAAAACTGATGTATTTTCCCTAGTTTTTTTCCCTAGGCTTGTGGTAATAATTTGCATCAAGTTGGAGCCAGACTTAATATATTACTTTGTGCTCTACTCTTTGAGGCTTTATGGTTTTCAAAACCACGATCTTTAACACCTGCATCACACGTTGAGCTTATGAACACAGCACAAATCAAACCATTCCCGACTTCTCACTGTCAGAACAAAATGCTGTGACCTCTTACTTATCATAGCTGATTGGACTGCAGATCTTTCCTTTGGATGGACGACTGATATGAATGGCATGGCTGTTCATGAAGGTCTGGAAATATGGAATCTCCAGCTACTTTCCAAAATGTTTATACTCACCGAACCCCAGACAGTGGTGAGCCTGCAGTTTCACCACATTCTGTCAACATCAAGAATGTTTTTTAAATCCTTGCTAATTTGATAAGGAGGGAAGATTATCTCATTTTAATTTGCATTTTTATTACTTCATAACTGGGAAAATTTTCATGTTTTTGGCCATTAAATTTTTGGCCATTAAATTTTCTATGAATTATCTGCCACATCCTTTACTGCTTTTCTATGGGCTAGAGCTGTTTCTCTACTGTATTTGCTGATGTGTCTTTTTAATAGATCCACATGCACTCATCAGAGCAGGTAAGTACACACAGTGAGGCAGGTCTTCCAAAAGTCGGAACACATACTCAGAAGAAAGCGTGACCCCAGTGAACAGATCAACATCCATGTGTAATAACTGTATAGACTTTTACAAATTCCCTAACTACCAACGTGCCATTTCGATTCTGAAAAAGCAATATGAACAATCCTACAGAACTCTTTCACATTATGCTGTGCCCAAGTAGTAAGGACATTTAAAGAAATAAAGTCAAACTACATGTGAAAACAGTTCCAAAATCATTTTCATAAGACACTGACTTCAATTTAAAAAGCCAAGGGGGGGGGGGGTTTACTATTTTGATATTTTTTTGGCTTGCTGGTGGCACAACTTCATGAGTGATGTAGATTTATTTTTGGAAGATTTCTAAAGCGATCTTTTTATCTTTTCATACATCTCACCCTCCTCAAATGTTTCCTATTTTTGGATCTAATCTAAGTTCAAAACATCAAACCTTGGTTCTCCTGAAAAGAGGCTTCCAAGCCATTCTCAGGTGGGCGCTGGCCCCTGGCAGGACTGGTCCTCTCCTCCTCTCCCGCCGGTTTCACCCCCCACCCCACCTTTCAATCCCCCTCCCCTGGTGGAGCTCTACTGCTG